TATCTATCTATCTATCTATCTTGCTTAATAATCCATTATCTATCTATTTATCCATCAATCTATCGATCGACCGATCTATCTAACTATCTGCCTACCTGCCTATCTATCTGTTTGTCCATCTATCTATCCATCAGCCTCTAAGGTATTCTCGGTTCTACTCAGTAGTCACAACAATCATGGTCTGAGCCCTGAAATTGATAGATGGTGGTACCCGGGAGGAACCTTGGATCGAAGCGAGCCGAGGTTGGCCGAGCCTTCCTTTTTTCTTTTCTGCATCGGAGACGATCGTCTGTTTGTTTGATGTGGGGGGTATCTGGGTTCCGATTTAGGGACCTCTGTGGGTTTGGGTTTAGGGCCTGGGCTGTGCTGCTCAGGGTTTGATGATGGGGCTTTGGGGCTTGCGGGCTGTGTTCTTTCGAGTTCTGCTGTGAGGCTTTGCGGTTCATTGTGTTAGGCTTCCGTGGGTTCTCAGTAGCCTGGCCTCTCTCTGACATGAAGGCTCTGTGGCTGAAAGTCTGCCCATTCTTGAGCCCTCAGCAAGCAGCCCTGAACCACAAATATCTTGGGGCGCGCGGTTCTTTTCTCCCGTTCCCTCCTGGCCACGCACTTGCAGACGTCTGCTTCATTTCTTGGGGTTCAGGGTTGAAGCGCTTATAGCCCAGGCTCAGCGGCGATCCCAAACCTGAAACCAAGGGGGCTGCACCTTGATAATCACCTTGATACCACATTCATGCAGTATAGGATGGGTACAGGTGTTGACAACTGCAACCAACCGAAGTCATGAGCTGGGCGAGTCGGTTGGGAAAAGTCTTACAGCTGTAAGCCACAAACGCGAAAGCGAATGAGCCCCAAACATCCCTAGACCCCAAGCATCCCTGAACCCGAAACTCTGTATCCACAGCCGCAAACTCCTGCGTAGACCCTCGTCAGATCTCTAAGCCCTGAACCCCCAAAGCCCGCAGCACATGGCAGGCAGAGTGCAGCTGCATCGCCTCGGAGTTTGACTTCCGACAAGGTGCTGGCCGGGGAGGTTCCATTTAAGAATCTTTGCCTGGTAGTCCCAAGCGGATAACTCGCTTCGTCCATACGTCACGACTCACATCGAGTGTGGTTTCTGCACGCTGTCCCATGGTCGGGTGACTACTTGGACACGACTCCAAACATCATGCTTGCAGCCCTAGTTACAGCTGCATGTTCTATGAACCGTCGGGCAAGCAAGATACGTGGGTGGGCCCTTGATTGCACTGCCACGTCTCAGTCTAGGTCGGAAGCACAGACGGCCAGGTTTGGTGATTCTGAGGGCCCTCCCAGGTCATCCGGCCTTTAGTCTGCAACGAGACACAGCAAGACCCCTGGCTCTGCACGCAAGATCTGCACGAACCCGTAGGCAGCTGTATAAGCCCATCACCTAACTCTACACTTCTGGGAGGAAGCAAGCTACTCGGAAGATTTCGCGGAAGCCACGCTGGAGGCAACCCTGGAGGACCTCGGGGGATGCAGTTTGGGCCTTAGGTCCAAGGGTCCTAGCATGTGCAGTTTAGCAAAGGGCCTGAGTAATTCATTAGGGTTCGTAGTCGCCCTCGATTAAGTTTGCAGTTTTAGGGTTTGGGGTTTTCCTTCTCTCCGACGGTTAGTCACAGCCCTCTGTGACTTGCTGCATGGAGCGACCTAGACCCAAGGTAATGAAGTACGAAGCAATCAGCCCTGAATCCTAGCCACCGAGACCCCTCGAACTTCGAGACCCCTCGACCACCCTACTCTGCCCGAAACCCCTCCCTCCCTCCCTCCCTCCCTCCCTTCCCTCCCTCCCCTTCCCTTCCCTTCCCTTCCCCTCCCTTCCCTCCCCCTTCCCTCCGTCCCGTCTCCCTCTCCCTCTCACTCTCCCCCCCTCTCCCCTTCTCCCCCTCTCGCCCTCGCTCCCTCTCTCCCTCTTTCCCTCTCTCCCTCTCGCTCTCTCGCTCTCTCGCGCTCTCGTGCTCTCGCGCTCTTCCTCTCGCTCTCTCTCTCTCTCTCTGTCGCTCTCTCGCCCTCTCTCTCTCTCGCGCGCTCTCTGTCTCTCTCGCTCTCACAATCTCTCTTCTTTTCTCTATCCGGGCTGTGGTCTCGGGGCTTGGATCCCGAGGGTCCGGATCCATGAGTCTTGTAGCCCAACACCAAATCCCTCAAAAGTTGCGCTTTCTGCCGCAAAAGGTGAATTCACGAAGATACAAAATATCTGACGGCAAGGTGGTGTGCCCTTCTCCTGTGAGAACAGTCAACTTGTTTCTCGTCATTCAATCATCCCTCATCCAACTGGACTTTCCAACCCGTTCATTCAGCAGGCGAAAACGTTCATGTGAATCCGTATTTGGTCACAAAAAGTGTTGTAAAAGTGCTTCATATCTTGATGGGTGGAATGTACGTTCAGCACATTACAGAAGATTCATAAATGCGGAAGTGTTCCACAAATGCATATGTTCCAACAGCGTTGATGTCCTATAGAATTTCGGCGAATGGAATGTTAAAAGAAATTCCTTGGTTGTTCTGCGTTGACAGGATACGGAATTATGACACATGTTCGATTTCAAGCTTTCATGTTCCACTACAATTTAAATTGGAAATGTGCCGTAAATTTCCCGGGCGAAGAATTCAACAATCCCCAAACACCGCCAAAAGCCTTGAGAACTGTCAAGAAATTGCACGGGCGAAACCTCAAAACCACCAAAAACCCTCACCTTCAAACATCTTCAAAAAAACCTTCAACAAGCTCAATCGTCAAGGCATCATAAAGCCTGAGACCCATGATTTTCTTAACACAAATCAAGAAACGTTCAATCTTTGTCAAAAAACACACACCCTCAACAAGCACAAAATCTTCAAACATCTTCGAATTCTCTCTAAAATGTTCTCTTCACCGGGACCCTGTTCTAAGCTCATGTGCAAGGCAAACAGACGCGCAAATTCCTTTATTTTGTGAACATAAAGCTTGTAGTTTATGCTGTAAGTTTTTCGCGCTTTTTGGTGGGTGCTTAAAAACCAACATCTGAGTTTACTGTGTGTGTTTGCTTGTTGGTTTTGTTGTGTGCAAATCCAGAATTTGGCAGATGCCAACCATTTCTGGATATGCAAAACTCTTTGTTGTTGCTTCTTCTAAAGGTTCTTCGTCGTGTGCAATTCTGACAGATGCCAACAGTTTCTGGATATGTAAAACAGCTTTCTGTTTCTGCTCGATTTTTCTGCATAGGCAAAGCTCATTTGCGTGCTTCTTTTCTATGGTTTTGCTGTTATCAGAAATTTGACAGATGCCACGCGTTTCTGGATATGCAAAACTTATTTTATGGTTCCTTCTCAATGGTTTTTGTTGTGTGCAAATGTGAAATTTGACAGGTGCCAACTGCAAAACTTATTGTGTTGCTTCTTCTCAGCGGTTTTTTGTTTGTGTGCAAATCTCAAACTTGGCGGATGCCAAGCATATCTGGATATGCAACACTCTGTTCCTGCATATCCGAATTCTTTTAGGCAGTCTGATTCGTGTTTCTGAGATTTCAAGCCTCCCGGATCCATACCTCCAGGATCCAAACCCAAAAACCCACACACCTCAGAGTGTACGTACCTGACCAGGGACAGGCTACAGTTTGTATCGGTTTGCATTATGTAGCTGTAGATCTGGTTCCCCCTACACCTCGCCTGATTCGTTGAGTGCGAGTGCTATAAAAAAAAACTGTGCACATGCACGTACACTAGCACAGGCACACCCGAAGCGAAGAAGAGTTTAGTTTAAGCCGCTTGTTGCTATATCTAGTGATGACTTTTGACAGGCGGGGCGGAACTGTCAGCGGAGGCCACTGCCGCACATTCCGAGTGAGCCTCGAAAATGGGCATGGCATGACATGACCAAACGTGTCAACTTTTCCCACATTTTGGACTCAACAATGTTCAATGCAGTTTTCCCTGCTGCCTAGTAGATTCCTGCAGAAAAGTTTCCCCCCATGCGTGGAAGCCCGTGCCAAACGTTTTTGGTGCTTTGCCTTTCGTCACAGTTGCTCCTGGCTGCTGCCCAGAGCCATAAGCGCGGCATCGCCCGAGCAAACCTGCTCGAGCACCAGCTGCATGCACTGAAGCACGGCGTGTCCTGGGGCTACAATTGGGAGCTNNCAACGGAGGCTTCCCCCGAAGTGCAGGTGGTCAGCATTTTCGAGCATTGCTGGGCTTCAATGAGCCCGACATTCACTCGCAGGCGCACATGGACCCGTGGCATGCAGCAGCCATCTGGCCAGAGGTGGAGCAGGTGGCTCGCAACTATGGCGTTCAGAAGCTTGTAAGCCCAGCAATGTGCGGAGACATTGGCAAAGGCACATCTTGGATGCAACAGTTCTTGGACGCTTGCAAAGGCTGCCGGATCGATGCCATCGCCATCCATAGCTACTGGTGCAGCCTTGATGGTGTGCAGAACCTCATTGAGCAGTACCGGCGTTTTGGGAAGAAGATTTGGCTGACGGAGTTTGCTTGCGCTGCGCCAGGAGTGGACGTGTCCATGCAGGGCCAGATCAAATTCATGAAGGATGTCGTGCCGTGGCTGGAGCAGGAAGACATGGTTGAGAAGTACGCTTGGTTCAGCTACTTTACCAACGAGTGGGCACATGGCATCACGAATCCCAACCCTGATGCTGGACTAGTCGACTGGAACGGCGCTTTGTCAGAGCTGGGGCGGGTCTATGTGAGCCTGGGCCACAACCGGCGCCTGGAAGGCAACGCGAGCTTCCAAGAAGTGCAGCCTAACATGACCCAACCGATCTTTCCATGAGTCGCGGCGCATGCCCTGCCAGCGCGGCAGGCTTGACAGATATGCAGAAATTCGAAGACAAACCACTGCTGCATGGAATTGCATAGGCCATTGCAGTGGGTGCATGGATGCACTGGTGCTCGTTTCTGTTGCACACGGTGCTAATACACATTTTGATGTTCCGCACAACCACGGCCATCAAGCCTAGCGGGCCTGGCGTGCGGTTTGCACAGGTGTCGCAATCAGGCGCACCTACGCCGACTGTATATTGTAATTAGGATTGCTTGCAGCGCGCGTGGTGAAGTTGACACGACGCACGCATGTTTTCGAATCTTTAGAAGATTCCGGGGCAGTTTTGAGTGGTCTACATCGCATTGCACCAGATGAGCCGCAGCCTCCAGATCCCAATCGGGATGACATGAAGCTACTTGATCAAACGCCATAATAAAAAGGCACGTTTGATTCTTCTCTTCGCCTCTGTGCTGTAGCAATGTGCGGAACCATGCAAGAGTTTGATCTGAGACTTACGTGTTGTGTCTTCGAGCATTTGTCCCAAAGCTTGCGCTGCTGCTGTAGAGCCCGGACCTGCGGACTCCTTGCCATGCCTGGAAGCCAGACCTTGTTGTGGCTTTGCCTCTCATCTCAGTTGCTC